CTCTGAGAAATGCCTGATAAGCAACTTAAACAGAAAGGGTCGTTCTCATGTATCTTGTTGTTGCTGTTCTCACTCACAACGTAAGGAACTCAGTCCACCACTGATGGGGGAAGTTCTGTGTATATGTCAATAAAGCACTGTTGGCCAATAGGGAAGCAAGATAGGTGGGACTAGGAGTCCAGGAGTATGCTGGGAAGGAGAAACACAGGGCGTCAAGATGTAACCGCCATAGGGATAAGAAGTCCGGAAACTTTTCCGGTAAGAGAAATACTTAGATTAACAATTATGGGACAAATACTTAAGTCAGAGCTAGCCAGTAAGAAACAAGCAAGGCCAACAGCTTCATAATTAATATAGCCTCCTGTGTGTTATTTGGGGACTACAACGCGGCAGAGCCCAGGCGATTGGTGGTGAAAAACCAAACAGCTGGCAAGAAAAAGTCTTCTCTCTACACACCACTTCAGTGAAGGCAAGGCAGAAAAGCAGGCGGTCACACTACATCCACTGTCAGGCCATGAAAGCCGCTGCTCTGCCTTGTGGTGATATTTTGTTTGTGATCTAACAAATAAAACTTGCCTGAAGATCAAAGAAGCAAAGCGACCAGCCACTAGAGAGTTCTCACCTCTGCCAATGCTCAAACTGGAGGGGCGATCCACCGAACCTCAGACTGTACTGCTCTCCGCCAGACCTCAGAAGGCAATCAGCTCCCGTCTCCTCCCTTCTTATATTCCTCTCTAGTGCTGTGATTAAAGGCGTGGGATCCCAAGTGGTGAGATCTTCTCTGCGTGAGCTCTGTTTCTCTTTTAATACTGGGTCAATTTTGTGTAGATCAGGGTGGCCTTGAACTAACAACAGAGATCCGTCTGCCTCTGTCTCCCAAGTGCTAGGATTAGAGGTATGTACCATCACTGCCTGACCTCTGTGGCTAACTAGTATGGCTGCTGGGGTTAAAGGTGTGTGCCACCGCTGCCTGGCCTCTATGGTTGTGGCTAGCTTTGCACTCTGATCTCCAGGCAAGCTTTATTTGTTAGAGCATAAACAAAATACCACCACTCTTCCCACTTTGTCCTCTTTGTTCAGTGGGGAGCCCCATCTCAGGGCTGCCCCCACTCCAGGTAGGCCTCCTCGCAAATCGGCAGACACTATTTTTGCAATGGTTAATCTTCATTGACAACCTGATTGGCTTTAGATTCACCACGGAGGAACACAGCTCTGGTTACATTTAGGTTTGTCTGGACAGGTTAAATGAAGAGAGAATACTTACCCAGAGTATGGAGAGCCCTGGCCTGGGGCTCCAGACTGAGCAAAGAGGAGAAAGTGGGCAAAGCAGCATTTGTCTTCTAATTGTGGATGTGATGTGACCACCTGCCTGCCTTTCCATCCTACATTCAAGGATGGACTGCATTCTTTAAGCTGTGAGAACATCAGTAATATTATGTAGCCAGTCTCGTCTCTGGCTATCAGCCTCTGATGATATGGCATGGTATCCTGGTCCTTGAAGGAGTCCTACACTTGTTGTGTGACCAAAAGCTCAGTGAGTCCTGGCTGGATCTTTCTTGCTTCAGCAATCCAGGTGGTCACTGTTGCCTTTCTGTACATTACATAGGAGAAAATGAATGCTTGTTACTGTAAATCTGACCAAGAACCCATGGTTGTAGAGCACATGGGCCCAGGAGTGAACTTACTACTATTTTGCTAAATGGACATAGTGTCAACTGCTCCCTAAATTCTTACTCCTTCACTCAGTGATGCTGTCAGATCTCATCGGATAAGCTTCTTCGTGAAGTGGACAGTGGTAAAAGAAGCAACTGTCCAAAATGCAAATAAGTGTGAAGCGTTCATCCACCAATGGGACATCAATACCCCACCCTCCCCTAAGGCTCAGAGCCTGTCTTGGAAGAGGGGATGGAAACCCTGAAGGAACCGCAAGACAGGGAGGACCAGAATATAGCTATCTTAGGACTTGACAAGATGACTACACCCAGGGACTCGTAGCAGCTGTGGCTATCTGCACAAGACCAAGCCACACGTCTCTAGCAGAGGGGCTGTTGATAGTTGATGGCTTCCAGGGGTAAGGGGAGTAGGTGTTTCTTATGGTTTCTAGTGCTGTGAGGAGACACCACGATTATGGCAGCACTCATAAAGGAAAACATTTAATTGGGATGGCTCACTTACAGTTGAGAGGTTTAGTCTATTATCATCGCTGTGGGAAGCAAGGCAGCATGCAGGCAGGCATGGTGCTGGAGGTGAGAGTCCTTACATCTTGGTCCAAAGGCAACAGGAAGTGAACTGAGACACTGGTGGTATCTTTCGCATATATGAGACCTCAAAACCCACCTCCACAGTGACACACTTCCTACAACCGGGCCACACCTACCTCAACAATAATAGTGCCACTCTCTTTGGGGGCTATTTTCTTTCAAACCATCACAGGGAGTGTGGCTCCTGGAAGGCCAACAACCTTCCAGGGGATTCTCCACATCCATGAGTATATGGACAGCACAAATTGGATTTGGTGGGTTATTAAAAAAAAGAAGACATGAAGTTGGGAGAAATACAGGACAAATATGATAAAAACATATTACATATATGCATGTGTATGAAATTCTCAAAGATTATTAAATAAACACACATAGTAAAGACTGTAGTATAGATCAATGATTAAGAGCACTGATTACTTTTTCCAGAAAACCTGAGTTTAATTCCCAGCACCCACATGGTGCCTCAGAATTTGACAACTGACTGTAACTGCAGTTCCAGAGGATTTAGCGCCCTCTTCTGGCCTCTGTGGGCATTACACACATGTGGTGTGTAGACACACAAGCAAGAACAATATCCATACACTTAAAATAATCATGTACTTACTTATGTTTTTCTTTTTTTAATTTCACTTTACTTTCCAACCAAAGTTCCCCTCCCACCCACCACATTCCCCCAGCCCATGCCTCCCAACAGGTAAGGGCTCCCATGGGGAGTCAAAAAGTCTGGCCCATTGAGGCAAGCCCCTCCCCATTGTGTTAAAGCTGAGCATGTCATCCCACCATAGGCAATGGGCTCCAACAAGCTGGCCCAGCTGATAAAGGCTAGACTCACAACCAAAAATCATATATATTTCTAAAAGGAGAAAGGCTTCTCCTTGTGACACAAAGGAATCTCATGCATGTAACACTGCTCCTTTAGGTTTTTTACTGTATTTAAGTGGGGGCTCTGAATGCATTTGTACCTTACAAATGTGTATTTGGTCATTGTATGTGGGAACACTAAAACAGGACAATTGGTGCAGGGACTTAAACACGTCATCCAGTCGTATGGTGCATGCCATAAATCCCAGTAATTCGGACGTGGAGGCAGGAAGGTCAGAAGAAAGTTCAAGGCCAATCTCAGCTGCATAACAAGTTTGAGGCCACCTTGAGCTACACAACAGATAAAAATAAAGCAAAATAAAACACAGCAAATTCATAGTTGTATTCCCCTAGAGTAAATTAAAGTAGAATTCAGTGTATTAATTTCTCATGTAAGGGGCTTGGGATGTAGCTCAGTGCTTGGCTATTGTATATGAAGCCCTGTGTTCGATCCCAAGTCCACGTAAAAACTGGGTGTGGTAACATGTCTACAATCTCAGGCTTGGGAAAGTGGAGGCAGAAGGATCAGAAATGAGAAAAAAATCATTATCAGCTAGACCCCAAGTTCAAGGCTTGGACTATAAACCCCCAACTCCAAACAATTAAAAAGGAAGGAAGAATTGCTCTTTGACAAATATACCAATTACAATGCTGCTAAGCATAAATGAAATGCTCACCATAGGCATCTCCTCCAAGGAACACAGCCTAGAGAGATTCTTATGTCTTTGGAATGTTAATGCCTACATCTTCCTCAAACAAGAAATTTAAAAGCTTCTGTGATAAATTATAATGTTGAACTCAGTATAATGGATGAACATCTGTTTCCAATTTCTATATTACAAAAATGCTGCCATGAAATATAGCACACAGTTTTTTTTTTGTTTTTTTGTTTTTTACGAGACAGGGTTTCTCTGTATTGTTTAGGAGGCTATCCGTCCAGCCCGGCCTCAAACTCACAGAGATCCGCCTGCCTCTGCCTCCCGAGTGCTGGGATTAAAGGCGTGCGCCACCAACGCCCGGCTAGCACAGTTTTTAAGTTACAGGCAAATCGCTACGGAAATCATCATGACCCTTTCTCTAAGTTAGCTCAAAATACTCTGGAAGATGGAAATAAAAAAGATGATATGGAAATAAAAGGAATGACAGGACAGGCAAGAGTACATCTTGTTGAATCTGGTAGCACAGATGCAAATCCCTGCACTAAGGAGGCCCAGGTAGGAGGGCCACTTTTTCAAAACTGTGTTGGCAATTTAGTGAAACTCCGCTTCAAAATAAAAAGCAGTGAAAACTGGTCTGGAGATCCCCTTAGTGGCAGGGTGCTTGCCTAGACTTTGTGAAGCCCTACCTTCAATCCCCAGTATAAAAATTAAAAGTAAATTTTTTTTCCTACAGCTTCTTGACATTAATTGGCAAATAACTAAATTTTACTACTGTGGTGGTTTGAAAGAAAATGGCCCCCCAAAAGAGTAGCACTATTAAGAGGTGTGGCCTTGTTGGAGGAAGTGTGTCACTGTGGGGGCGGGCTTTGAGGTCTCCTTTGCTCAAGCTTCCTCAGTGTGACAATCAGTTGACTTCCTGTTACCTGCAAGGTGTAGCACTCTCAGCTCCAGCACCATGCCTGCCTGCACGCCACCATGCTCCCCATCATGATGATAACGGACTGAACCTCTGAAACTGTAAGCCAGCCCCCATCAGATGTTTTCTTTATAAGAGTTGCCACAGTCATAGTGTCTCTTCACAGCAGTGAAAACTCGAACCAAGGCAGCTACTAAGGAAGTCCCCAAGTCTTAAGTGACCTTAATTAACCCCTTTATACCATTCAGGTGACAGACACAATAAACACTGAACAATCTGGATGCCAAATAAGCAGAACAGGAGTTTAGGAGGAGTTCAACATGTGCATTTTATTCGGCTGTTTTCACCACTGAGACAGGTGACTTTAGTTTGTTCATTTACTCTAGCACATACATTTGAAACAATAGTCAAATTCACCACAAAGGGACCGTACCAAGTAGGACTTCGGAAAATTACAAAACAAATATCCACAGTCGTCCTTGGCGGTGCCGCACATCTACGTTCACATAGCCCAGAATTCTATAACACCATGGACCATTCCAACCATCCCGCAACCAATGGGAGCTGCCACAGAACCAACGGGCTTTATTCCACCTGTCAAGCGCAGCAGGCATGTTTCCGTTTCGCTTTGCTCATCTTGTAAAACCCAACTTGTTGTTCCTGCTTAGGTCATTCTCAGAATGAAACCCAGGAAACTCAGTGTGCCACAATCTCATGGTACCGTGTTTTACAGACCCAGGCATGTGGGGAATCCTGGCAGTGAAGGGAAACACAAGCGCTTGGCTGCAGTTGCTAATTCTAAACTTGAACTCCTCAGGTCCCACCTGGGAGCACTTTCTTACTGTTTTGTTATGATGAGATTAGTTCCATATCCGTTCTTAGAAAAATTAACTAATAATAAAATTTAAAATAATTTAAAAATTCAAATAATTTCCATATTTTAGATTACATGTATGCTGCTACCTCTTCAAAGTAAAAATTTAAGAATGCTGTGATATGGGAAAGTTCATATCATGTAATACAAAGAAGCAAAACTGATCCTTACTAAGGGACCTTTTGACCCTTGGGGGGGGGATGCCTGGATTTGAAGCAGTCAAAAGACACAAGGAATTCTAACAAATGAGCAGCTGACAGAGAGCATGACTATGTTTACTTCTGAACTGATAAAATGTTTATATATTTAGAATTGTAAAATATCATAATACTTTAAGGAACATTTCACCAAATGACTGGTGGCAACACAAAAAAGATTTTTTACATACTGCATGTAAATGAAAGGCACACATAAATATAACCAATGCACTTCCTGTATTACATCATTTATATCAAGCCTACACCCACATGGCAAACTCCCAGCTAAATTCACACTAAAAAGCATGTAAGAACAGTCCCTTTCTTTCCACTATTGTACCATTCGCAATAACAGAGGCATGTGTGTGTTCTTATCACTTATGATTATGATAGTATATTCTGTAAATTATATTTTAATATTGAGACTTAGAAAAGAAAGACAGGTTTTTTTTTTCATATCGACTTGTAGCTTTATTCAGGTTTGATCTTGACAAATGTGTGTAAAGAAAGCCTGTAGGAAAGGACACAGCCCAGCCCCTATGAGACCAGCACCTTTATCAAGCAAGACTGAATTAGGGTTTTAAATTTCCTCCAGGTAAAACCAGGTGTGGGAGTGTATGCCTATAATCTCAGCACTCAGGAGGCTGAGACACATCTATTCACACACACACACACACACACACACACACACACACACACACACACACCAAACCTCACCACCAGCACCAAAAATCTTTTCCAGCTGAAATAGGACCAAGTGCACCCAAGGCCATCATCTACAGATTCCTCCTCATCATATCTGGAATCCACCCCAATCTATCATTGACCATCAAGCCTCTGAACTCCACGAGTTCACTCTCAACCCTGGTTTCAAAGGCAAATAAAAAGCACGGGTGGCGGGGTGGAAGGTAGAGGGGTGTAGTAACACAAGAATTTAGAACAGAAACGTAGCCTACACACCAGAATGTCATTTTAAAGCTTGAGAATTTTGCTGTGCACATTAGTTTACAAGTTCTCAGTGCTCTTAAAAGCTGTTTTCATAATTCTGTCCCAACAACCGATTCAACAAGACAGCGTCTCAGCTCTGCTGGTCTTCTGTGTGTCTCCATTTCAGACAGTGAACACAGACTGCACTCTTTGCTGTGGGCTTTGCTTGTCTCCTGAGACAGGGTCTTGCTATATAGCTCATAGCAAATTCCAGATTCTTCTGCTACAGCCTGCTGCATGTTGGAACTGCACATGTAAGCTAACAAGCCTAGCAAATGTTTTTCTCTTCTCAACTAATGTGCACGAAAAGACCTTAAATTCTCTATTGAGCCTGTTCTAACTAGTATAGGCAAGTAAAGTTAAAATGTATTTTCTTCCATTCCCCAAAGCAAGAAGATGAGAAAATTTATTTGCCTCCCACTACATATTTAAAACAAAAGTTAAAGGAAGAAAACACATCAGACTTGAAGGCATACCTATTTAATTATTTTTCTCGTTTTTTTCCTCAAAATTCCAAGTCATTCTCAACATTCACTAATCTTTTCATAGCCCATAATTTTATATTCAAATTACTACACAACGTGGTTGCTTCTGTTCTTTGGTTACCCACAAAATAAAAAGTCTCTTGTAGACCTTTGTTGTTGATATTTTGTTTGGGGGAGAGATGCTGTGGTTCAGACTTCCCTGGAACTTGCTACATAGCCCAGGCTGATCTCAAAGTCACCATCACCATTATCTTGCCTCCTCCTCCCAAGTCCTGAGATTATAGGCACAGGCCATTGCATCTGGCCTCCCACACATACTTTTAATCCATAGTGGTTATCTACTAACTACCATTGATTCTTGACTACAGAAAACCACTCAATTTATTGAGTGTCCTTCAGGATAAATATATCAATAATTTAAAGCGAACTGATAAAGGCTCTACAAGTCTCTTCCCTTTAATTTTATATTACTTCAAAACATTTATACATTCATCACACATATACCAAATTTACATGATTTGTGAAAATAAACTATTTTAGGGATTCACAGTTTAACAGCAAATTTATATGTAGGTTAAAAAGGAGTGTAGTTTTACATTCCTAATTTATGTACCAAGCTGACATGCTTGAATATCCCTTTTAAAAAGATTTATTCTTCCTCATAAATCTCAGAAATGAGGAAAATAGAGAGATTAAAGCTCAAGCTATGTCTACAGCAGTGTGAGTCATTGTAATATTATCTTTACTAACAAATGACCCAACTTGCTTACTATGTGCATAAAATGTGATATAAACATACCACACACAAACACACAACAACCAACTTGCACACACAGTCAACAAACACAAACACTGTCAGCATGTCACTGTACATGTTTTGATCAGAATCTATACATTCTCCTCAGGGGATTAAGGGGTAGTTGGAGCTATATAGTATATTTGACTATAGAAAACAGGACTGGATGGGGAAAGGCCTAAAAATAGTTAAAATACACAAGAGAGCTATTTACAAATATGTATACACTGTAGCCATGTCTTCTGCCTGAAGAAGTTTCTTTTGCAGGGTTAAATTTACTAATCTGTGGTCCAGAGTACAAGGTACAGTAACAGGGAAGTTATCTCTTACTAGTTTTCATTTTCACTCCTTGGTACATTTATTAAAAAAAATAACACTTGTGCGTATTCCTCCCTTGGAATTCCTGCATCTCCCAGGAGTACTTTTCTGTAATAAATCTATGCTTGTTCTGCTCTAAACAACTAAAAACGAAAACAGAAAACATTTGTAAGTTGGAGCATCCTACAGTCCCAGGTATTCAGGAGACTGAAGTAGGAAGACGTTTTTAACCCAGGAGTTCAAGGCCAGTCAGTGAGAACTGTTTTAAACAAAGAGAAAGAAGAAAGAAACACTTGCAAATAACACATTGACTAGCTATCAAAATTCAGAAAACCTGTCCAACTGAATGAAGAACAAAATTGTTAAAAGAAACGGGATCTGCCTGGTAATCTTAAAAACTAGAAAGCCCGGATTCAATCTCCAGCATCACAAAACAAAAGGCATATTTTGTACATCATCAAGTGTACCAAAACCACTCTCTCCCACTCAGCTCAGAGTCTCGCAATGGCTTCACAGCTTTGCCGTGGTGCTTGCACTGCTGAACACATACAGTTGAACGTAATGATGAGGATTTGTGAAAATACTACCATGTACATAGCTGGCAAGCTTGCATTGTCCTGGGACTCATGGGTACAGGCAGCCTTTTGGCTATCATCAGTTTCTTGACATGCTCGCTGACACACTGCCGCTTAGGAACACTGAGTCCCGGCTGGAGATCAGGCCCACCGTCCGCTGGAGGCAAAGCTTCTGCTGAATGAAAAGTTTATTTCAGAGTTCTTGTATTTTCCCCAGGCGCCAAAGGGCACCACTACTGCAGTGCTGTTGTCTTCTGTACCATACTGTATTGCCTGCAGGAGCCACAGGGAGGAGAAAAGAAAAGCTCTGAGTCATTGGACTTCTGTGCAAACAGACAGCATCCTTTCTCTGGAATGCCAAGCGGTTCTATGCAGTTAATAAATTAAACTATCTAACAAGGTTCGTGACTGTCTCCAACCCTGTATCTGTGTTCCATATGGTTATTAACTGCATATGAATAACAGATGATCTGGCTATGTCCTATCCTCCACTGTAGCAATCTTGGCAATAGAAACACCTGTGAGCTGAGACGCACCACTGAGTAGCTCCCAAAGAAGACACACCTGAAACCCTTAGCATACAGCCAATCGTGGAAAAGCCTTACTACCTGCTAATTCTTACCAATAAAACTGCTCATAGGAATTTTGCCCAAGAAATTAAAAAGCTTTGGAGAGGGGTTTTAAAAAAAGAACAAAATATAACATTCTTGTCTGGAAACACTGCTAGAAATCTGCCCCTTTGCATACTAACTCAAAATTTAAAATCTCACAAGCGGGGATGTACAAAGTTATGACAGAAACGTTTATAGTACTCCTTCTAAAATGGTTAAGTGAGCATAAACTAGATTGCCTGCAGCAGGATTGTACATCACTTCCAGGGACCAGTTCAAATAGCTGAGTGCTAGAGTCATTTCTCTTCAGAAGTGCTTAAGGCTGCAGTTAGCATCAAACAGATCAAAAGATCCCAGCCCCAGGCTAAAAGAAATCTGGTATAGATAGTTTCAAGGAATGTAAAAGGTTTATAGATAAATTGTAAGAGAAAAACTTGTTTAAAATGTATCAAGTATGTATCAAATGTACCATTACACTTAATATGTAGTTTTTAAAATAACCATTAAAATGGTGATAAAATAATAGGCAAAGAGGGAAAAAATAAGAAATATCATCTTTTTAAAGATTATGAATACCATGTTCTGCCTGCATATATATGCCTACACACCAGAAGAGGACACCAGATCTCATTAAACATGGTTATGAGCCACTATGTGGTTGCTGAGAATTGAACTGTTCCTCTGGAAGGGCAGCCAGTGCTCTTAACCTCTGGCCATCTCTCCAGGCCCAAAATATGAGTTATTAAAATACCATTCTTGATGTTAATTCCACTAACAAAAAAATGCAAAGCTGCACAGTGTAATCTGTTTTCGTCAACGATTTGTGCCTCGTTCAGTAGGAGAATGCTCACCCAGCATTCAAGAGACCCTGTGTTCGAATTCACCATAACCCTCAAACTAACGCCCTCCACCCCTCTGCTGCCCTTCACCTTCTCTCTGGGAATCCCCCACCAGAAACTCTAAGTCACCTGTTCAGTCACTGCATGGGCTGCTTCATTAGGGTCATGGCACTGGTTGACAAAGTCACAGATCTCTTGACTGTTCACCATGAAGTTAATCCCATCTGTGGTGAGGACCAGGAAACTGTCCTCCGCATGGTAGAGCTGCAATCATAGGCAAACATGTCATCACAAACTAGACTGGGCCTTCGCATGACTCAGTAATGTGGGAACTCTATTCTGCAGGATGGTCATCTGGGTCGGAGTTCACGGGCAAACTGAAAATGCAGGTGAGAATCAATACCACCCAGGATAAGCCAAACTTTTACCCAGCAATAGCAAGAAAGAGGTCAAACAGCCAAATGCTGCATGTCTGGGCTTAAATGCTGCTTCTAGTATCTGGCTAAGTGATGTGTTACTTGATAGTGTCAGCCCCTTTATGCTTTAGCTCGTGTTGCTATTTCAATTTACTTCCTTTTAAAGTGAAGATAGTTGTATCTATTTTGAACGGAGGCTTCCACACAGCAAATCCTATATAAGTATTTGTTTCATAAAATGAATATATATTGTAATGAGCATTCTTTCGGCCAGCCTGGTCCCAGAGATTCGCGTTAGTCCCAAATGAACACATGGGACGCTACATTAATTTTGAAGCTTTTGGCAGTTTGCTATGGTTTCTTGTTGGCTACTCTGACTTAATTATTGACCCATAACTGCTCATCTGAGTATTTCCACGTGGTTCTCTCTTACCGGAGAAAGGGTCTGGACCTCTTACTTCTCTTTCATACTACATGGTGACTGACTATGCCTCTGTTTCCCAGAATCCTCCACCTCTCCTAGTCTCACCTATTTGCTTCCCTATTGGCCAACAGTGCTTTATTTATCAACCAATAAGACAAACATATACACAAAAGGACTTCCCCCATCAATATATATATATATATATATATATATGTCTGTTTATTTATTTTTTTGTATTTTTTGAAACAGAGTTTCTCTGTATTGTTTTGGAGGCTAATCTGGAACTTGCTCTGTAGACCAGGCTGGCCTCGAACCCACAGAGATCCGCCTGCCTCTGCCTCCCAAGTGCTGGGATTAAAGGTGTGAGCCACCAACATCCGGCTGTTTATTTATCTTTGAGACTGGGTTTCTCTGTGTAGCCCTGGCTGTCCTGGAACTATCTCTGTAGTCCAGGCTGGCCTGGAATTCACAAAGATCCACCTACCTCTGCCTCTGCTTCCCGAGTATAGGGAGTAAAGGCATGCACTACCACCACCACCTGGAGTGAGATATCCTTTTCAGGCCATAAATCCTTCCTAGAATTCTGAACATTCATGCTCGACTGTTTGTGGCAGTCCACACTATACCATGCTGACTCAAGAGCTCTAGAGAAGCAAGCAGCAAACGCGTATGTATCATGCTGGGGTCAGTTTAGAGTAAAACAGCTGTTCACACAGAAATGGCTGGCTGCAGAGCTCAGTGGAGAAAGCAAGACGAGAATGACTCCCAAGCAGAGAAAATGCCTCTGAATGACAGGCTTGGGAAAGGATGGGCCACAGAGCTCCTCGACTAAGGGAAAACAAGAGCCAAAGACTTCATCCTCCTCAGGCTGGAAACTCCATCTTACTTAAAAAGTTTATTCTTTGCACATTAGCCCTCCTCTAAAAACACCTTTCTTTCAGGTACATCTTCCAGGACAGCCTGCAGCAGGAGGTGAGTCTTTCACTGTGCATGACTCAGTGTTTCTGACCCCTTCTTACCTTAATCCTTGTTGTCTCCGGTTCTGCTATTACACCACTGGCTTTAAGATCCAAATCTCCAATACTCCTTGTCATTGCAAGTCTGCCATTTACATGGGGCTGTCCCAAACTATTCCAAGCTACAAACCCACCACATTTCTTGATCCTAGTTAAGAAAAAAGTAAAATTAATAATGACGATGATGATTATGATGATGGTTACAGTGGTATAGGAAGTTAAGGCACTGGTTTAAATATCCTTTTTACAAATTGAAATTTGGAGCCTGGTATGTCAACACACACCCATAATCCAGGGACTTGGGAAGGCTGAGAAGCCCATGGTAAATGCCAAAACTTTTAAGTCCTTATATAAATAAGATAAAAATGAAAAAGCTAGGCCACATGGTGTACACACCCTGATAACCCCAGCACTTGAATGACTGAGAAAGGAGAATACAGCAGCTATGCCAGACTGGGTTGAACAGCAAGATCCAGTCTCAACAAACCCAAACCCATCAAAACGAGAATGTCTGGGATGTGCTTGCAAAGAGGCCCTGCTGTTTTACACCAGCACAGGGAGGGAAATGTCACACCCCATTTCTATGGCAACTATACCTATCACCCCATAAAATGGCTGGTCACAGTGGCAGTACCTTTCTTTCTCATCCTTTCTCTCTGGGGTATGGTCAGTGGTCAGCTTCATGGGTTTTCCTTTTCTACACAAAAGAGCCCGGCTGTCTCCAACACTGGCTACAACCAGTTCAATGCCATCTCTCAACAAGGCTACCGTTGCAGTAGTCCCAGAAGTCAGGAGGCTTGCTACAAATGTTATAAAATGGAGTATCAGTTAGCGATAGAAGTGTTCAGTTATGGAATTTTTATTCAGAATAAGACAGAAGCATGATAACTTAAGGCTGGCATGTACCATTCTAACTTAACAATAGCTATGCAAGCAAAATGCAAACAAACTGTAAGTAAGACCATGCAGAGAAACAATTATTATTTAATACAGTAACAAGGCTCCATGCAAACAGAAAGGTTGGTAAACTAAATTGGTGAGCAAAGCATCAGTGTCTCCAGGTGTTCTGTGTGTGTGAAGCAGGGCTGACTGAAACTCACAATGATGATGCCTTCATATGCATAGCAGGTGTCAAAACAAAACAGGAAAAATGTCACTAATCTGGCTGCTATGACAGGCTGGCAGATCTGCTGGGCCCATTAGGTGAGCTGCCTTTCTAAAATCATGAGATTTGGATTACTCTCTTCTATTCCTTACTCCTGTCCAGTCAAAGTAGTACCAGTTAATAGGTAAGGAGAGAAATGCCAAGTAGAGACCATTTGCTATTCAAGTACTGCAGTATAGATTCTTACCTTCTAGAACCATGTCAATTTATAAAAATGTACACACACACACACACACACACACACACACAGTTGAAGAACCATACCTTTTCTGGTTTGGGTCTTTGTTTGCTCTATAACTGAAGAAAAGTTATAGCTCCCCTTTAGATTACAGATCTGAGTGGTAAAGAATGAAATTAGTTCCAGTTCCTCATAAACATGGCATTCTTAGCACTCTTAGCTCCAGAATCTGTAGCCAAAAGCAGACCAGCATAGCCAGCTGCAACTCCTGCAGCCCTGCCTGGACCAGATTATTCTAGCAATGAGAATCTTCTCTGCCATCAAGGAAAGCCCAATGTTACTAGGCTTGAGGTTGCCACTCTTTTTCCACCAAAGCTAAGCACATTTGTGTGTCTTTGATTTAGTCTAACATAACATCATCTATATTGTTTACCACTTATTAAACATGTTTAAGGTGCATTGAGCCTTGTGGAAAGTGGGAATACTATGAAACTATGAACCAAAGAACAATATAGCAAAGTGGAAGAAACTGAGCAGTAAAGCAGGAATTACCTCTAGTAACACTGTAAATTCCTTAAAGCATTGTCAAAACTTCAACTGAATCATTTTTATATTTTGTAGTAAGAATTTCACTTCCAATCGCTTGACTGTTGCTCTATATACTAGTATTTGTAAAAAGTCTCCTGACCATTCAAAAGTGACTTTTACTCTATAAGTTGATTCAGAAAACTGTAATTGACAGTCAAGTTTTTCCAAGATTTTTTTAAAAACTTCACCAATAATGCCTTTTAGAAAGAGATGAGTACATTTTCCACTCATTATATTAAAATACCTGCTTTATTCAGAAAAGTAAAATGGAAAGGCATGGATAAAGTCTACTCAATCTTTTGTAGTCATGCTAAGCTTACTCTATTGAGAAACAGCATCTACAGTTGTACTATCTTCCCATTTATCCCTTGATTTTGGAATCATTAGGTCAAAACAATGCTATCATATCACAGCAATGTTAGGATGTATGTCAGTGCATGACATAAATGTGTTAACAATAAAGACTAATGGTGATTATCCTACAGGCGTTCTAACTTTTAACTTGATATTAGTCAAATGATGACAACAATGGAACCTTCACAGTTCAATCAACTATATTATTTTCAAATGACTGTAAAAGGCAAAGAGAAGACAGGCATTTATTAGATGCTGCCAGTCCAGAGGATTCTGTACTCTTCATATTAGCTGTCAGCAACAGCTTTCTATAAAGGAATCTTTAAGTGAAGATGACAAAAGGACTAACATTTCGTAAACACAATTTCAGTTTGGGTTGTAGTTCCCAGCTCTCTCATCTCTGAATTTAAAAGAGCTTGGGCTTTTATCAACTCACCTTCACAGTTTCAAAATCTCAGGATATATGGGGAAAGTTTCAAAACTAACCGTTGATTCTGGTTTGCTATGCATCTAAGAACATGAATCAGCACTTATTTCCATTTAGCAGTTAACACAGAGATAAAAGTACTCACTGTGTGCCATAACAACAAAACTAGAGAAACTAAGACTTTTCAGTAAGTCTTCACACTCACTGGTTACTTTCTACTGCAAGTCGCCTCAACTACCGGGCAAGGAGGAAGTGGGAACGTCCCGGTAGTTTAGACTAGGAATGGCTGGACTCTTTCACCTGAGACAAAATTAAGCAGATCTCTCTTTCCACTGGAGCCCAGCATAGAGTGTCCACAGGCTCCAGGTCTAGGGCCGCTGAGCAGGACAAGTTCTCTGCCACAAACAACACGCGCAGAGGCAAATTTCTAGGAATTTCACCCAGAAATTACGCTCAAACATAACAAACCTGCAACACAAAGGGGCGCAGAGAAAGAGCTGCAATAGAAGGGGGAGGGGTTTCTACTGGTCACTCGCAAATTACAGAATATTCTAGAAGATGCCAAATCGATGATTTCAAAACTCAGTAGCTTCAAGTTAACAATATCTGGTTGTTGATCTATTTTTCCATCAAATTAACATTTCTCATAGTGTTCTATGAAAAAAACCTATGCACATATGCATCTGTACCAAAACACACCAGTGGTGACACAGACATGTACGTGCACATGTACATGCACACACAAAACCTTAATGCAACAAATTCAATACTTTTGAGTCAGAAAAAAATGCTCTGTGAATTTAGCTCGTAGCAATATTGAACTGCCACCTAAACAAAATAATTTGTATTTTACAAGTAGTACATAGAGGATGCATGTGAACTACAGTTTCCACTAGCTGACTGGGGTTTCAATATATATGGAGAAGCCATCAAAGTACTTCCTACAGCAGACAAAAGACACAAGACACTTTTCGTCATATGTAATGCAGGAATTTAGTATGGGGAAGAATTGTTTCCAGTGGTGTGGCTTAAATTCATTGTTTATATGAAGGCCAGTGTGGCTTTTGAATGATAATGCATGTTTATAACTTCATGTAATCATAAACTGGTGTTTCTGGTGCTCTCTTTCTCACCACAGAGCTGCAGGTTGATAGAACAGAAGAAAAATAATCACAATTTGGAACAACAATATTAAGAATAAAATCTAACACCACCCCCAGTGATTATTAAGCTGTGTAAATAATAATTCATATAAACCAATATTAATGCAAAATTTATTTAAAATGGGTGGGTTTTTTCTGTTTTTTTTTCTTTCTTCCTTCCTTTTTTTTTTTTTTTTTTTTTTTTTTTGGTTTTACGAGACAGGGTTTCTCTGTATTGTTTTGGAGGCTGTCAGTCCAGCCTGGCCTCGAACTCACAGAGATCCGCCTGCCTCTGCTTCCCGAGTATTGTTTTGGTCCTGGAACTCGCTCTAATGGATGTTCTCCACATGTATGACTCATGAACACCAAAGTCAAATTAATGACCTGACGCAGTAATAACACAATAAGAACAACTCTTCTGAGCTGTTATTATTTATTTTCCATTTGGTGACCTCCAACATAAAATGGGTATTCTAAACTACTGTACATGGCTAGAGGTGTAGCTCAGTGATAGAGTACTCGCCTAGCATACCCACAGCCCTGGGTTCAATCCCAGCACAGCAGGCAAATTTGCCTTTACAACTCTTATTGTCTTGGAGCTTAGTTCTCTACAAAGAGACACATCTGAAGAGCACAGAATTTAAAGCTCACAGTGGTGCCCACTAATACCTCCAGCTTAATCAAAGCAATGTACCTTGTTCTGACACATCATCCCCTAGGAGCATGGCTGCTTTCAAAGTGTAACCCCCGTGTAGTTCCAGTAGTTACAGAACACACAGCATCATAATCTGTGTTTCCTACCATCTGTTTTGTTTTAAGTGGCTGCTTGTAAAAAATAAAGTGATGGGGTATTTTAACTCACTGGTTGGTTTCATTAAGTATAAAAAAACACACTGATAGAAATTGAATTTAAAATTTAGAAGGTGATACTAAAAGGGTTGGTGTTCTAGCTCAGTGCAAGAACAGTTGTCTAGAATGTACGAGGTCTGTTAAAAGAAAGAACAGTTCCCACTCCCTGGTCTCGCAGGAAGGGCTCAAGAGAAGTGAAAGTAGGGCAGATGCTAAGACATGAGAAAAGACAGGAAGTAGAGAGGGTGACTGCTGTCCTATAGAATGTTTGCTAGCTAGCCCTGGCTCTACTCTTGGACACACACACACACACACACACACACACACACACACACACACACACACACACACCAAAAAAGTACTATCTACTTTTAAAATACCTTTAAGAAACACTAAAATAATGTTTCAATTCAATATTCCAGTTAAAAATTTAAATTTGGACAACTTTGAAACCTTATGTAAGATAGATCTAATTTTCCTTTAATCCAATCCTGAAAGGCTAGCACACAGTATTAAGTCTTCAGTAATTTTAATTTACCATCTGAAAGGTATCTACAAAAACGTCTTTGAAATAGTTCCCCAAACTCTGGTTTTTAAAAAGCATACAATACACACAATAGTGCACAGCAATTCTGTTATAACCTTTTTAAGCAGTGCTCTAGGCACCAGCATATCCTATTTCCTTACACTTTTAATTAGTTCTTCATTTAAAAAAAAGAACCAATTTTGAGACATCTTTATGAAGTTCTGAAATGATCCCAAAGGATGACAGAGCAACTAAATTAAACAATATATCTTAATTTGGTTATTAGAAATAAATGATATTTTATTTAAAACTTGGATTGTGTGGGTCATCTAAAGAGTCTCTTTAGGACATAAAAGTTAAATGTTATAAATTCAAAACCTCCTGAATTATAATATTAGAAACAAATTTTTTAAATTTTGACACTAGTCTAATAATGGTGGTTTTAATCACCAGGAATGATTATATCATTTTTAAAAAGCTTGATTGATTGCACTCATGAAGGGTTAATATATTTTAGTGTTGACCATATGCTAATGTTCTTGAACATTGTGTCCTACAAACCACAGGCAGTAAATATAGCTGAGGCATAATACTGACACTACATCCCATAAACATTGTGTTGGTGATGCAGCCAAATTCACAGCCAACTTAGTAATGGATGAAAACACACCAAAATGATTATTTTTAAACAGGCTGGGCATAGTGGTGCATACCTTTCTCTGAGTTTGAGGCCAGCCTGGTCTGCATAGCCAGTTCCAAGCCATCCAGGGATGCTTAATGAGACTGTGCCCCCACCCCAAAAAAGTAAAACCACGAAAAAGTGTTTCACTTCCTCTTCAATGCGTTTTACTCTTTAAGCTAAATCTTAAGCGGAAACGTCGCTGTCAACGCCTCACTTAATGGAGGGGAGTGGAACTTTGGGAGGAGTGGTGTGAAAGGGAGAAGTCAACATGGCTCCAGATAACTTACCAAGTGGAAACTACTCTCTAGACAAGTGGAGAAAGACTGGGCCACAAGGTGCCCCTGGGAGTGTGGTGGTAAGGTCCTCACAGGGAGCGGGAAGGAGCTGGAGAAGTAGCTCAGTGGTTCAGAGCTTGCTGGCCTAGCATGTTCCAAGGCCTTGGGTTGAACAAGGATGGGCGTAGGGAGGCTGACACACTCAGCTTTCCCAGGGTCACCCTTTGCCCTGTCTTGTTATTGAATAAGCAAATGAATAAGGCTCTAATCTCAAGGAGCCATTTCTTCTCTTTGAATGGAAGCTCCTTGTGTGTGTAATGGGGGAGAATCTCCATGCAACTGGAAGTGGCATTTCTGTGGTGTACTTTTCTTCTTAAAGGAGAAAACAGAACTAAGATAAACATTCCCACACAATGCTGTTTCCAGTCAGTTAGGAGGCATATATTATATATATGGCTGCTACAGAAGTTTTTGAGGTTAACTTTATTAGAAATATATTTCTGGTGAGCGAACTACAACATATTAGATTTATATTCCTGAAATTATTTTGATAAACTTAGTCAAAACAAGAAACATTTTTAAACTTATACACAATACATGATTTTTTAAAAATTAACTTGCCATGTCCTTCCTTATACTTAACAAAACCAAACACATCACTAGTTACCACAGGAAATCTGCAAGATTGAGAAACAGAAGACAAATATCTCCCTTCTGACTATAGAAAAGGATGTCAATTAGCCATTTTCTATCATACTTAGGCCTATTGCTAATAGTCTTCTTTTTTAAAAAAATCCATACTCATTTATTTTGCATGTGCATGCATGTTTTTAAGTATATGAGGACATGCCACAGCACATGTGTTAAGGTCACAAGCTAACATATGGAAATCGCTTCTCTCCTTTCCCCATTTGTGTCTCGGGGCTACAACTCAGGTGGTGAAGCTTGGTGGCAGGTGCCTTTACCCACTGGACCATCTCTCCGATTCCTATAGCACATGCTGAACAATTATCAGCCTTGCAAATGGGATTGTCCTGTAGCGTTTACACTGCTGGCATGGCAGGGGGATGGATCCTCTTAGTATGGACCTCTTGTCCATAAAAAATATCACAGATTGAAACATTTAAAAATCTGTGTAAAATTAAAATTCAGTAACGGACCATCTCGGTGCTTCCCCTTCTGAAAGGTCATTATCGTTCATAAAAGTGGGACACTGACATAAGCTCAGATTCTAAGCAGCATTTTAAAGGATCCTCTGTATAAAATTATTTCTATGACAACTCCCCACAAGTAAACACGCATTAAGACTCCCACCACTGAGGGCCTTCGTGTCCTCTTTCCCCCACAATGCTCGAGGGTCAGAGGCATGCGCAGGCTCACTTACCATCAGCAGACAGGTGGGCATAACTGGAAAAGGCTTTATCTATTTCTAGAAAGGCCAAGGTCAGTACGGTTTTCAAGTCTTTCTCCCGAGGCAGCAAATCCCTTTGTGGAGGGGAAAGAAAGCTGTGATCATTCTGCAAGAGTTGTCTCTTCTCAGTCAGTCCCCCAGCACCAGTTTATACAACAGACCTCACGGGCCTTCCTCTCAGACACTTTTGCCGAAGATCCAAGGTTTAAGGGACATTTATTGGTCCATGAACCGTGACACTCTTAGGATGAGGATCATGCCATCGTGCCGTGGGTATGTGGTGTTGGAGGTGCAATTCAGGGCTTCTTGCAAGCTAGGACTAACTGAGCTATGGCAAACCCGAGGCTTTTTAAAGGCATGAAAATATAGGTCTGGGGAAGTGGTGCTGGTGATCTGTATGCAATACTAAGACTTAAGGAGGTGAGGGCAGGAGGATCAGGAGTTCAAGGTCATCCTTGTTTTTATATAGTCAGTTCTAGCCCAGCCTGGGACATGTCACTCTATCTCAGAAAAACAAACAAGGCTGTCCGAAGACACAGTTAAGTGGTTGGGTCATTGTCTCACATGCAGAAAAAAAAAAGTCAGCTCTGTATCCTTAGAGCCATCTCTCAATCCCCAAGTTCCTGTCCCTGACTGGTTACAGGGTCCTTCACAATGACTTAAATCACTGAGTTTGTAGAATGAGGTAAAATCAACTGACAAACTACCTTCAGCTATACATTGGAAGGTAAAACAATAGTCCATGATCATAACTGCCATGCTGTCTCCTTTGTTTAATTCTAGCAATAGTGTGATTCTCAGAAAACATGGTAAGAGTGGTGGTTTCAGCGAGAGCGGCTCCCACGGGTGCATGTACTTCAATGCTTGGTCCTCAGCTGGTGGAACTGTTTGTTGTTGTTGTTAGAAAGGATTAGGAGATGCGGCCTTGTTGGAGGAGGTGTGTCACTGGGGTGGGTGTTGAGGTTTCAAAAACCCACACCATTCCCACTTAGCCAGCTCTCTCTCTCTCTCTCTCTCTCTCTCTCTCTCTGCATTTCCTGTTTGTAGATAAGGACATCTCTCAGCTGTTGCTCCGGCATCATGTCTGTCTGTCTGTTGCCATGCTCCCTGCCAAGATAGATGGTCATGGCCTTTAACTTTATGGAACTGTGAACAAGGCCCCAAATAACCTTTCTTTTATAAGTGCCTTAGGCACTGTGTCTTCACAGAAAAGTAACTAACACAGTAAGCAAACCTCCCTGTGCTGACAAGAGTGAATAATTTTTCAGGACTACAGAGGTATAGCTCTATGGGTAAAGTGTTTGCTGTATAAAAATGAAGACCTGCGTTCAAATCCCTAGCTCCTACATAAAGACAATGCATGGGATTACAAAGAACCCTAGGGGTCTAGCTGAAACAGTGTGAGCTCTGGGTTCCATAAGAGACTCCATCTCAAAATGATATGGGAAGACACTGATGTCAACTTGTGGCCTCCACACACAGATGAGTACATACACATATGTATGCATACAACATATATACATACACACAAACACAGGTGAGCACACACAAGAGTAGACTTTCTCGCAAATTATCTTTGTACATTATAATTTACTTGAAATGGAAATCTAAGTCTGTAGATTTTGAAACACATTTCTGAAATGGAGATAACCACCAACTATAAATGCCACGTTGACCACTGCTCACTGATGAAGGGGCATGTGATCACTGGAGTAATTTGGTCCACACTGGATATCTTAGCCTAAGGGATTGTATTTCAACAGAAGGCCTAGAGGAACTGCTAAACCAAGGTCATTATACATACATCACACATTTTTTCATGTGCGTGTGACAGAAGTCGGCAGCTGCAGGGCCCCCGTGCCCATCATACACTGCAAAGTACAGCACCTCCTCTGTCAGCTGTGCGAACCCAAACCGGTCTTCATTTTCTTTCCGTTTGCCAATGAGGGAGGCACAGCCCACGTTCTCCAGGCTGATTTTGGGGATTGGCTTGCCATACTTGATGCTAGGTGGCAGCAGAATTGGCTCATCAATACGGTTGTCCCAGATCCCAAAATTGTCCCAAGTAGCGGGTTGCCCACTTCCGTCTGGATCAAATCGAGAACACCTGGGCTCCGAAGTGGAGCTGTAGCAGGTAGGAGTCACCTGTCTGTTGTCCTGCAGAAGGACAGAGCTTAGCAGTACTCTCTTCTTCACCTGGTTCCCACCGCTTCTCACCAAAGTAATTAGGGCCGCTGATAACATAATGCAAGTCCAAAGGCCTCAGTCACAGGGAAAGGCAAATAGAGCAATAGCAGAATTCCTTGAAGAACTGATACACCTAAGGGTGGGGGCAAAGATACAGTCACAATCAGCAATTCAAAACACTGCTAATACATCATCAGATGCCAGCAACAAAGTCATAATCTGGCATCGTGTGTGTGTGTGTGTGTGTGTGTGTGTGTGTGTGTGTGTGTGTGTTAGGAACCCTACATCCTATTCTTGAGAATGCTGGATCAAAAGTCTACCTACCTTCACAGTGTTTGAATTCTATAAACATATACAAACAACACATGTGTCTCCCATCTAACCTGCTATCACTGTGGTACCTTGTTAAAACAAACATTTTTGAGTCAGCTGGTATGAAGTAAGGCCACAACGTATACTTCTACTCAGCTGATCACACAAATGCTGGTCATCAGGCTACACTCTTTATGTAAATATCCTTTCCTCACAAACTCAGTTGTTCTGAAGACAAGGTAATGTAAATGTCAACAATAATGACAACCTCTCCTACAGATGGAAATAGGAAAAAAACAGCTGGCTACTAGAATATTTGCAATAATTTTGTACTCAAAGGGTTTTGATCAGAGTTTCCTTTTTACTTTAAATATCTGTACTCACTCTTCAAGAATTTAATACAATGTATTTTTGTCATATACATCCCAGTTCTTCCTACCAGTGGCTCCAAGATCCACCCTACTTCCTACCCCCACACTGTCTTCTTTTTTAAAAAATAACCCATCAACTCCAATTTGAGCTTCTTAAGTACTCCTGGGTATGGGACCATCCTCTGGGGCACAGTTGACTTTCCAGAAGTCACATTCTTACACTGACTCTCCCTCTCCCGGAGGCCATCTACTGTCCATAGTTTTGTTTTGTTTTGTTTTTTTGTTTTTTGTTTTTGTTTTGGTTTTTACGAGACAGGGTTTCTCTGTATTGTTTTGGAGGCTATCGGTCCAGCCCATCCTCGAACTCACAGAGATCCTCCTGCCTCTGCCTCCCAAGTGCTGGGATTAAAGGCGTGCACCACCACCGCCCGGCCTGTCCATAGTTCCTTAGTTGGGGACTTATGCACCCCTTTCCACTCCATACTGAAATTCTGACTGGCTCTTGTGCAGGCAACTGTAGCGGTTCTGAGTTCCTGAGTTCAGTAGGCCTGTCACATACAGAAGACACTGTTCTACTCTGGTCCTTTTCCCCACCAGTGACATCTAGCTCTTACAATCTTCCCACTTCCTCTTCTGAGATGGTCCCTGAACCTTGGAGAAGGGGTGTGATACAGAAGTCAAATCTGAGTTTTACGATCTATTAAACTTTGCTTTCTATATTTTAGACTGGTCAATGTAAATTGGTTCATGTAAACATCCCCTAGCAAAATCGGCCGGTTCCATTTGCATGATAGACGCTCTGAAGAGCATACGTGAGAAATTGGGCACCGTGTTAATAACAAGCAGCCCAGATTTACGGGCACATGGTCTACGCGTTTACATCAATAGTGCATATCTCCCTCCACTGCCAGCAACTCATCAACATCCAAGACAGTGAAAACTCTGCCCCCTCTTCTCCTAAACAGGGCCACACTGTGCAGCCCTGGCTGGCCTGGGATTCACTATATGTACTAGGCTGGCCTTGAACCCCCAAAGTTCGACTTCCTCTTCCTCCTGATGCTGCCACACTTAGGTCAAGACTTCTTGAAACCATTATTCTGCATTCCTACTTCAATCCATTCCTAAAAGCTTTCTGGGCATTAAGTGGAACTCTCAGGGGGTTCTAATATCCCTGTGATTAGGGCTGTGTTTCTGACCTCTTACCATGCATACCAAGTTCCAAGCGGAGATTCAGCTCCACAGCAATTAGTCCTGTTACTTTACAAATGAAAACTTAATTCATGAGGTTAAGATAAGACAGTGCTGGAAGAAGGTGGTCTGTTATTCCCAACTACACCAGCCAGGATTGTGTTTGTAGTGGCTCTGGTCTGCAGTCCTAGCTTACTGAGGGCAATGAAGTCAGAAAGATTATTTCCATCCAGTTCAGATTAGAAATCATGATGGGAGGCTAGGTGGGAGGAGGGGGCAGCGAGAGGGATAACTAACACTAAGGTTGTTTGAAAAAGCCATATAAGCTGCCTAATACATACACAGATATAGTATCCTCTGGGGGTCAGAGGGTGGGGGAGAGGGATACTGTACACAGATGTCACTCCTTCTGGAAGCCATAGGTAGCCAAATAAAACGTCCATTGCCAGGTGTAGGATGGCTACCCTTCTTCCAGCTGTCTGTCAGGGGTGTATTAGAAACTCTTTAAACAATATGGGCTACTGTGATTGCTCTTGGTTGCCCACTAGAACTATATGGTAAAACCCCGCAGAGACTGTCTTGTAAATTCCTATCTCTATACCCAGACATTAGTGCTACCCTCAGACCTCATCCATGGTTCTTGGTGTGGACTGTGATTAATGCAGAAACTCACACTGATCAAAGGGACAAGGGTAGGTGTTTGCAGAGCACTCAAGAGCACTCAAACAAAAGTGGGACACTGTGCCGGGCGGTGGTGGTGCATGCCTTTAATCCCAGCACTCGGGAGGCAGAGGCAGGCGGATCTCTGTGAGTTCGAGGCTGGGCTGGACCGACAGTCTCCAAAACAATACAGAGAAACTCTGTCTCGTAAAAACAAAACAAACAAAAAAAAACAACAAAAAAAATGGGACATTGTGCTACACCTCTCCCTTCAAGGTTCATGGACCATTTAAGAAGATGGAGAAGAAAGTTTATAAGAGCCAGCTGCTGGGGAGGAGTGGTGGGAAACAGCATCTTCTAAACTTGATACCATGGCTGTACTCTCCAACTCCCAATAGCTGTGGTTGCTTGCACAAGACCAAACCAGTCAACATTGTAGGATGAAAGGGCTCATGGGCACTCCCCCAGCTGACCCCTCAGGTGCTATGGACAGCTGGTAGATTCTGGGAGAAGCAGAGCCAGTTTTTCTTTACAGGTGTGGCAACTGGTCAGTTGACTATGCTCAGGAAGGCCACACACCCATGAACAGATAGATGGATGATATAAATTAGAAACAGTGGTCAAGGTGGGGGGCATAGAGGTAAAAGTGGGGACTGGGGAGTAGATTTTAGAGGAGTTAGGAGGAAAAGTGTGAGTCAAATACACTTTATGAAATTCTTTAAAGAAAAGTAATAAAATATCTTGATCAAATTTTGAGATACACAGAAAACTGGAAGTACATATGTTGGGTGTATCTGTGAGGATGTTTTCAGAGACCATGAGATATGAGTTAGTGATTGGTCAATAAATGGAGAGAAAAAGACGCATCCTAAATACGTGTGACACCATCTAATAGGTGGGGATCCCTGGAACAAAGAACAGGAAGGGGATGTTCCCATAGGACAAGCTAGGGTCTTCTTAAGGGGGTATTTTTTACTCCTGGTTCAATGAACACCAGATCCCAGCTTCTTCAGCCTTTGAAAGAAGATTCACACTAGCGATTCTCCAGGCTGCTTACAGATCTTCAGCCCCACACTGGGCTCAAAAAAAATCAAGTCTTCTGCAGCCCATTAGATCCCACTAGAACAAATTATTTGGAAGGCCCGGGCCCAGCTGGTCCCTGAAATCGCTCCCTGTAGAGCAGTGCATATGTTCCCCTCTCGAATGTCCTCCTGCTGTTATGATGCCATGTGCCATGGAGTCATCAGAGCACCGGCTGGCACCATGTCCTTCAAGACCCAGAGCAGCATGAACTAAAGTCACCTAAACAAACTTACTTTGTTTTTATTTATTTTCACACTTATTGATTTATATATGGGCATGGAGTGCATGTGTCTTGCTGCATACATGGAAGTCAGAAATACTTGAAGGAGCTGGCTCTCCCCTTCCACCATGGAGGTTCCAGGGACGGAACTAGAAATATATATAATTTCTCCAAGTCACAGGTTTCAATAAAAATGTGTGAGTTATAGGTGACATCAATGAGGAATTTCAAGCTAATATAGCACATATTAGAAGTAATAATCACTAATGGATCTTATTGGCACAGCTGTAATTATTACTTTTAACAGATAAGTCAACAGGTGTGAAAAATAAAAAAATAACATGAGTTTATTTAGGTGACTTTAGTTCATGCACACTTACTTATCAGGAATGCACCTACTTTAAAGTTACAGGACAGCAGACAAGTGACTCAGAGTTTGAAACAGCCCTTCTAGGCTTCTCCCCTATCCCCTTTATGCTTCTCTCTAAACCTCAAAAAAAAAATCAAATGATAAACACAACTGCATTCTCATCAGAGAACAAATACCCACAAGATAGATTATTGAATGATAACGTAAATGCGGACAGTTCCTTTGAGCCCATATAAACTAATATTTATCATCAATTTGACCTTCCCTCATATTATCAACACTCTCACTTCAGAAAGTTAGCAAAGCAGTTATAGAGAAACACCTGCTGGAGAGCATTTTTCTGGCTGAGATTCAGTGCGAGCAGCTACAGAACTAGGTCAACACTACCTAGGCAAACAGATTTAAGTGGTTCCATCTCTTTTGCCAGCCACACCAAAACTAAACTACACAGATCCCTTTTAGAGCCTCAAGAAACCTAATCAAAGGCAAATTGTGTTCCCAGGCTACATGACAACTCTCAATTAAACCTGCATATGACCCACAGGTCTAGCTTAATGGTGGAGCAGAGCTTAGCCTGCATAGGACCCTCAATTCAAAAATCTAACGAGTTGACAAAAACAGCAAGAGAAAAGCAAACATCCTCACTCCAGACCAAACAAAGCTCTGTTCATCAAGAAAGACATCCCTCCCCCACCACCTGCTTCAAGTTTGGATAAAACCATCATCAGCCCCAGAGATCTTGGAATGCTTGCAGAAACGACCATGAAATGAGAGCAGATGAGGGGAGCAGAATGGGCGTGAGAAAGACAACAAACACTTAGAACAACAGCAGAAAACCCAGTGCCTTTAGACAGAGTGGAGAACAGCCTGACACAGGCCTTAAGAAATCTCTTTGTCAGACTAGCAAGCAAGAGCTAGCTGGGATAAGCTTATCAGTTGGTCCACTAAGAGCAGTTACTTAGCAAGTTGTTACTAATCAGGGAGAATTATGTAAATCTGTGGATTAGAACTCTAATCTAAGCTAAATAAAGTTAGTAAACCATTTAAACAATTATATTTACTCCTTCAAAGTGAAATCACCCTTTATTGCCTTTACTACACAAAAGTATCCCAGAAAAGTAAAAGGACTATATAGCGTATTCACAAATGCATATGACATAGTCTACTAACAATAAAGAAACTTTAAATTATGGTAAGAAAATAAAGATAAATAATTTGTTTGGAATCCTAGATATACACCTTAACAATCTTGAATATATTGGTAATTATACATAAATGGAAAAAAGACTATTGTCTGAACTATTCCAAATTCTTTATTTTCCAATCAAAACAAAAATGCATACAATGTGTGACAATTTAATCACTTCAGTCTTTAAAATTATATTTGTGCGTGCATAAAATTAAAAATACCTTATGTACTCTATCTGCTGGAAGTAAATATCTGAAAATATGCCTCTACTATCATTTCCACAATGATTTGTGTGACTAAGCCTTTCTCCCTACTTTCCTCAACAGCCTGATACTTCCAACTGACCAGAAAGAAAGGAAAACTAAAATTACAGTGTTAGAACAAAGTTGTCCCCGAGTAAGTAATTCTATGTAGCAGGACTCTCAGCCAAAGAGGTTAAAGAAGCTCTGACATGTCGTCCGCAGAGTCATTTCAAGACAGCACTGGTGAAACTCGTTTCTACAGAGTAGCTATCTCAGGCCAAAGAAGTCGGGCAAGTAGCTTTGTGGGTGGGACCACCCCCTAGAATCTCAACACTTACTGGGAGGAGGCAGGAGGAACAGGGGTTAAAGACCAGTGTGGGCTACTTGAGACCCTGTCCCAACAACAAAAACATCAGGATTGAAAAATGCATCTGCCTTGTAAACTTTTTTAATCCACCCTTTGATTTTCATAGCACAAGGACCCACACACACAACTGCAAGACCTCTGCACCAATTTTACTCTTCATATTTCTCCTATCTTATACTTGCCCAGCAGTTTAACTACCAGAGCTGCTCCATTTTATTTTTAGAAAAAGGAGGCACTATCTCTATCGCAGGTTTTGGCACTTTTAACTTGAGTTCAACCGCTGATGAGTGTCAAGAACAGTTCTGAAGGGAGATTTATTTGGACCACTTTAAGCAAGCACCTGGCAGACTTGGGAGTTCTGGCAATGAACATTACTGATAAGGCTTAGATTTTCCTCTCTCCAGGAACCCTGTGAGGCAACTACCCATAATGTGACACTGTGATATCTTCCCATAATGGAAACATGGGCAATTTTTAAATGTTTTTTTCCATTTTACTTATTTACTTGTGTGTAAGGGGGTGCAGTCCTGCAAAGGTCAGAGGACATGTTAGGTGCCCCTTGTCTTGCTATCGGTAGGTCCTGGTGCTAGAACTCAGGCAGCAGGCAACATTACCAGCCAAGGCCAAGTGACATCACCAGCCCGATTTTTAATATTCTTAATCTCCATCGTCACCAACGAAATCCCACTGCAGTCCAATAAACAACTACAATTATCTGAAAACCTCTTAGATGTATTTTAGCAAGTCGGCACCCAATGCCTTTACCTCCTTTTAGGTAAAGGAGGAAAAATAATGTATCGGTTTACAGGAAGGAGAAAAGAAAACAAACCCTCAGTGAACTTCGGGTGTATGTGAGCGTTTGTTTAGACAAGTGAACTGAGAGTAGTAATGAAAAGTACTTATTACTCAAGTCTGTGAAAGGGGTGCTGATGGTGTTAAGGAAATAGAGACTCGGATTGCAAGAAAAACAGTTATTAACAAGAACTCATTATCCAAAGTTTCAGTATTTAATGGCATTTGTCATACAGCGGTGATCTGGTTTCCAATTTCTACAAGCTACAACGCACACTAGCAGGGAGGGCAATACCTTCCCTTCCGCTCAGCCTTGCAGATCTCTGGCCGCTCCCAACTGTTTTCTCCAGGGTATAGGTCCCACAGAGGTCACATCTACTCTCCCCACACGGGGCACCTGGGGTGGGGGTAGTGGGCTTCGCTGTTACTATTCCTCCAACTCCTAGGAAACGCCAGCGGAACTTTTGAGACTCGAAATTTCCTAGCTGTTTTCTACCCATAGTCTCATCTTTGTTTCCTCCGGGTGAATTCTCTCATCTACAGAAATCGGCTGCGGAAACAGGCACCACGAGCCACACGGCCTTAAGATACAGCGCTCTCCTAGCAAAGCGAAACACGAGCCCTCAGATCCGAATCACTAGGGCTCCTCTACACCCATCGCCATATAAGCCCTGCTGGACAGGGTCCTGAGCTGGTTTGCTGGCCTTGACCTAAAATCGGACACGGCAGGACAACACTCTGCGGGCAGCGCAGCCCAGCAGATCTCCGGACACCCCCAGGTCTTCAGGCCGGGAAACCGGTCCAGCCGATTCTTTCCAGCTGGTACGCACCTGGGGGGCCTCGCTGCAGGGAACCCAGGGTGGCTTTGGTTTTGCCCTCTTTCTCTGTTCCTTCCACCGACCCTGCCCATCCTACTGGCCCCGCTCCCGCGGCGCTCACTTCCAGCCTGAGGTCAAGTTCAAGGCCGTCCGAGGCTGCATCGGAAGAGCGGATGCCGGGGCGCAGCCGCCGTGGGCCTCGGCGGGAACAGCTGCTCTCCACCTCACACACATAGCTCGGAGAGATGCGCGTAGGGCTCGGCCTCAGATGGAGGAAGCTGCGGGAACCCATCCCATATTTCTCCGCCTTTCTGGGTCCTCCCTTAGTGCTCCATTCCGAGGGCCGCCAATAGATACTCGTCAACAACCTAGGGGGAATGAGCGAATTGAACTCTTCAGTCTCTTACCTCGTGATGGCTTATGTGTCTGTAAATTTCTTAACTGGCTAATGGAAGGAAAGAGAAGGTTTTCTTGGATGGTAAATAAGACTGACTTCTCTTGTAGATTCCGATCTCTAGAAGCCACAATCTCCTCTCTGGAAATGCTCGAAATTTTTTTTTCAGCTGCTGGCCAAATGGAGACCGGGTGGAGTCTGCTCTAGATGATTGACGGCAACTCCGACCAGTTGATGTTCTGCAAAGCTCCATGCCTTCCCTCAATCTCAGCCAATCATAGATCTAGATGGGAACGAGCCTCCCGCATGGGCAATTTGACCTCTCAGAATGCCAACTGAGCCTAGCCGAGCGATGGTAAATTGGACCAGTAGCTGCTCGACATGGCGCCCCGCCCTCCCGCGGTGGCTTCGGATCAGAGGTGCCAGGAACCTTGTTCTTTGCCAGCCACAGGAGGAGGGAGTGTTGTTTCAGCCAGATGAATCTTGGCTATGTCCCAAGAAATCGAGAACCGAACAGCCACGCTTTGCTAGTGTATGACGCTTGTACGTCTCCCAGTTTTCTTGCCCATTCTTTGACAAATCACAGAACAGTGTTTTCCAGGCTGCACTAGCAGGCATCTCGGGATGGCTTACAATTGTCCTGCATACCCTAGGGATTTCCATCTTTGTGAAGGAAGCATTGCCTAGGACCTGGAGGTCTAAAATGCCTCGGGAGTCAGATAACTGCCCTTAGAATCTTTGACTAAGTAAGGAAGAACTGGAAGCAAGTCAACAAATAAACAAATGAGTTAAAAATAAAACATGTCTAGAGAGCGAGCAGCTGAGGTGTGGATTGAGGACACTGGGGAGCAGATTTGACACAGGGATCCGAGTCCCGCTGGAACTAGTCTACTCAAGGTTCTAACAAGAAGGCAACAGCAGATACCCATTGGACTGTAATGCCACCCTTCAGGACAGATCCCAGGCCCAGGAGTGTTAACCAACACGAAACAGACTCCATGCTTTTGTGTGTGCGCATTTTGTTTTGATATTTTTAGTCTTAATTGGACTCCTTTTGTTTTTGAGAGAGAGAGAGAGAGAGAGAGAGAGAGAGAGAGAGAGAGAGAGAGAGAGAGAGAGAGAGAGAGTTGGGTGAGGTGGGGAGGATCTGAGAGGAACTGTAGGAGGGGAAAGAATGTGCCTAAAATCTACTGTGTGAAAAAAAGTTTTGCTTATCAATATTCTTAAAATGAATGATTAAGTTGTGTTGACTAGTGCATTTTATATTTATCTGTTTAGACAGTGATGCTCACGTTGATGATTCACAAACTCTAATGATGACTTGAGGATTATGTTGGGTAGAGTCAATTTTCAGAAACTCTTGGGATTGTTACTGGATCTAGCCACATTGCGTGTGGCTCAAGGGATCCTCACAACCTGCAGCCTGTCTTTGCATCTAACGCCAGATCAAGAAACTGTCCACCCTGCCACACAGTTATTCCTTTCTTCTAGGGGTAACCTCTGTGCTGACTTTTAACATAGGAGATGAATTTTGTCTCTACTCTATGTAGTTTTACACCCTAACCTATAAATTCTCTTTTTGTTTGACTTCAACAATGTTTTTGTAAGATCTTCCACTTTGCTCTGCAGTTTCGGGTCTTCATATTTTTCAAATTTGCAATTTTATTGTAATGTATGCATTTGTTTTTGTGGTGGATATTGAAGTAGTTCCCAGTTTGGAACTATTACAGTTCGTGCCTACCATGCACAATGCCTTTAATTCAATCTCTAGAACCAAAAACTTGGAAGAGGGATGGAGATGGCTCAGCATTTAAGAGCTCATACGACTCTTCCAGGATACCCTAGTTTGATTTCCAGTACCCATTTGGGCAGCTTATGACCTGTAACGCTAGGGGACCCAATGCCTCTGTCTTCCAAGGATGCCACCAATTTATGTGCACATACCTTCACACAGACAAACCCATAGATATAATTAAAAACAATAAATCCTTTTAAAAAAACAGAAAGAAAAATAACAACTATGGTTTGAATTGTGATTAAGGAAATTGGATGAAGAGGCTGAGAAGTGACCTGAGACACTCAGTTTGTAAGTGGTCAAACTAGCACTTAAAGGGCAAGGTTTCTTCACAGTCATGCTGTCAACTGCTATATTATATACTTTCTTATAAGAGGTGTGATGACCCTGAACTCATATTCAGTGTGCAGTGCTACCCAGTGCTGTTCTCTCTAGAGCATCCTTTGTATCCTTCCTCCAGTGCTGCAGAAGCAATGCCATCTCATTCTGAAGCCTTGACACAACATGGCTTTTCTTTTATAGACTCCCTGGTGATAGTTGCTGCCTGTTTTAGGGCTGATGTCTGTGTGCTGTGTGAACAGGTATGAACATGGCTTATTTCAATCTGTGGTCTCAGCAGATTCCTTTTCCTCTTGGGGACTGTTTTTGGTATGTTTCAGAATGAAAAGGAGGGGGGATTTCTGTGTGCAAATAAATGCACACTCAGGCTCTGAACCTTCATAGTAACTCTGGACAGACTTTACCTCTTCTAACATAAGAACCTTATCAGAGGGCTTAGGAGGAGGAGGCAAAATTAGGTCACTATAACCCTTATCTAGAGTAAGCTCAGTATACTCTGCCTTCTCTTGGGCTCCTTTGGGAAACAGACCCATGGCATAAAGCTTTTTACATCAGTCACTTCAAAAACAGGCTAAAGGTAACCTTACCTAACTCCAGTGTAACAAGCCAATTGCAAAACCCCCTGTTTGTACTTTGTATCTCCTTTTCTAAGGAAAGAGCTTGCCAAAAGCCAAATCTGGTCAAACTCATCTCACAGGCATGGTTTATATTCTGCTCTAACTGAAACCAATGCTTATTTCTCCCATGTCAATGTCTCGGTAGTAGTAAGCCTTTATCTCCCAGCTTTCACTAAACATAGCTGTTCTTTGTGTCAGAGATTCTCTACTTTCCTAATACTGTGATGCTTTAATACAGTTCCTCATGTTTAGTGACCCCCCACATAAAATTATTTTCATTGCTTCTTCATAACTGTAAATTTACCCTAGTGTAAATATCTCTGTTTTCCAAGGGTCTAAGGCAACCCCTGGGAAAAGTCATCAGACCCATAAGTTGAGAACTGATGTGTTGTGTAGTTTTCTGTCTCTCCCTCTGCTCCTTTCCCCCTTCCCCCTCCATCCATCTCTCCCTCTCCCTCCTCCTGCCCTCCATTCTTTGCATTCTATGTTCTTTCCGGAGGCACAAAGTGGTCTGAAACTCATGCTGTTTGTATGATCTCTTTTATGGGAGAGACACAACATAACAGAAAGCCAAAGTTGGCTAAACTAACTCAAGATCTATAAAACATATTATCAGGAGCATGTTTTCAATATTTGGCATCAATAACTGTGCACAGAGAGGCAGAAGAAATGAACTTCAGAGACTGAGCCAGGTTTCAAATCCTATCTGTTCCACACCAAGGCCTGCAGCAAATCACTCCTTCATAGTGTGTCAAAATCTCCTCAACTGGAAAAGCAGGATGAGGCTGACTGTACCAAGGGCTATTGTGGGAAGAGTAAAAGTTGACATGTGATATGTGCATTATTGGTAGGGCAAGGATGTTTACAAGAATAGACAGAAGAACACAAAGAGTAAATGAGTTCAGTTTTCATTCTTTGAGGAGGGAATAGTATGATATTTAAGAGTCAGTCTGAAAGTTTCAGTGTGAACTATCTACAAGCAGTATGACCTCAAGGAAGTTGCTTAACCTTTCTGTCCTTTGTCTAGTAAAATGAGGTTGACTGTTGTGGGATATTTGTACACTATGTGAAGATGGATTACTGTGATTGGTGTAATTAAAAAGTTGAATGGCCAATAGCTAGGGAGGAGGTATAGGTGGAACTTCTGCACAGAGAGAAAACTTGAGAAGAAAGGTGGAGTCACCAGACTTTGAGGAAGGGGGATGGGCATATGGAGATGAGGTAACACCACATGCAGGATATAGATTACTATAAATAGGTTAATTTAAGTTATAAGAGCTAGTGGGACAAACCTAAGCTAAGGGCAGGTTTTCATAATTAATAAGTCAATTTTTGTGGACTGGCAGTCCTGATGAATAAGTACTACTACAGTAGACAGTAATGAGACTACCTCATGGGACTGTAAGGTAAATATTAAGAAAGTTAGAAGTCTTGCGTCAGTGCACAGAGGGAGTGAGTGCTTGCAAAGCTTAGCATCATGGTTAATTTTATGTCAATTTTGCTACACTGGGGTGCACAGATATTTCGTAAGACATTATCTAGAGATCACCTTATCTATTTTATGTAATGAAGTGTTTCCCAATTCCAGAGTAGCCAAATCTGTTAAATATTATATAACAAGGAAACAAGCATGCATCTAGCTGTTAAATTTTAAGATGGAATTTACATTTAAGTTTCATCTTTGTGGATCTAAAATTCACTTGAAACAGGGTGATGGCTGTTGTCTAGGAGATTTCCAGTGCTTTCCCTGGCACAAAGACTCAAGCAACTGAGAAAGGCAGAAGACCAAGCCTCATAGAAAAGTAACACCTTCATGTATTCAGGTTGTGAGAAGCTTAATGCTGGAAGTCCAGTAGCCTAGTGCTGGCTTGGGTTTTGTATAGGGCCCCTGGGTCCTCCCCTGTCCTGTTCAGACAGACACCTGATCCCATGCCTTTCCACTGTTTCACCTGGCAATGTTTTCTGGGACCAAGGAACAGCCGTCTCAGGAACCCTGCTTACATTTTCCTTATCTTCCCAGGTCCCTCTGTTTTCATGCTCCATCCCCCGCCCAGAGACTGACCAACTTGTGCCATGGAAGGGGGAAAGAACATTCCGAGCTGTTTCATTTAGTCACGGGCATTTGTCAATGGGGGAACTGGCCCATGAGAGAGGAGGCTTCTATGAGGCAGGCTCCTGGGGCCAGTTGAGGGGGGTCTATGCTAACCCTCTGGCAGACAGTGTGTCTGGAGCTCCGTCTTCAGGACCATTTGTATAAACAAAGGGGCTGAACGAGTGGAGAGAAGAATACTAGAGGACACAGTATTACATCCCAGGGTACAATGACGATTCCCAGACAGGTCCCACACAGGAGCAGTCCTGACGAGGTTGGCCTGGAGAGTGATGGGCCCACAGTCCACT